CACACCTAACTGTTTTTTAAAGAGGTTCCTTCTTCGTCCTCCATCGATGAGCTTTTACACCTCTCTCGTCCTCCGTTTTCACCGCAGCTTCTCATTCTATACCCCAAACTTCGGGCAGCATTCTCAGAAATGCATGCCTTGGTGGTTTTCCTGCTTGTGCTCGTGCAGTACGTTTTTAAACGCGCTTGCATGGGGCAGGTACCTGTACAATAGAACCACAGAGCGACCCTTGATTTTAAAACAGAAGCGTGCGATCGCTCACCGTGTCATCCGTGACGCTAAACGCACTTGCTGGCGAGATTGTCTCCACCATCACCTCTGCTTCCTCTATGAGTGCAGTCTGGAAAAAGTACGAAAACTGGGGTGGTAAATATTCTCCTGACCGGCTCCTGTTCTGCGGGTTTTCCGGTGTTGATATAGCAAACCCACTAGATGTTGCCAATGAAAATTTGGGAATCATCTGGTCCGTATTTTTCAGGGACTCCATCTATGCCCTTCATTTCTTTCCTCAAAGTCTGCCAGAGGGGTTAGCACCCTTCGACTTTTTTTCTCTCAGAGAAGAACAGTATAATGGGGCCTTTTACACTTCAAGAACTGGGGGGCAACACTCTCAGCTTGTCGATCATCGGCAGCTGGGCCCGACGACATTCATATTCGTATGCTACAACATTTACATCTGTCAGCCCTTGCAGTCCTATTACGCCTTTACAATCTTATTTGGTCACAAGGAGTTCTTCCACAGCTGTGGAATCCGCCATTGTTCTCCCTTTTCCCCAAACCAGGCACTACGGGACATGAAACCTCCCACTAGTCCCATTGCTCTTACCAGTGCAGTTTGCAAAGTAATGGAACGCCTAGTAATAGACGTTTAGTGTGGTATTTAGAGACACACAACAGTCTCTCCACTCGTCAATATGGCTTTCGTAAGGGACGTTCTACCATAGACCCCTTACTACGCTTGTATACGTATGTTCGAAATGCCTTTTTCGAATAACCACTCAGTTATTGCCATATTTTTTGACCTTGAGAAGGCATATGACACAACTTGGAGGTATAATATTTTAACCCAAGCCCACTCCTTAGGCCTTCGAGGCAATCTACCATCCTTCCTTAAGAACTTTTTAACTGACAGGCATTTCCGTGTTCGGGGTTTAAAAATGTGCTCTCCCCGGACTTATCCAAGCTGAAGGTGTCCCCCAGGGATGTGTTCTGAGCACAAAAACTTTTTCTCCTTGCTATTAATGATTTGGCCTCTAGTCTTCCATCAAATATTTTGGGCATCACTCTATGTTGATGACTTTGCTATTGCCTGTGCAGGCGCTGACTGTCACCCCCTTACAGTTTCTCTCCAAAAATGCAGTCGACCGTGTTTCCAATTGGGCCACCACACGTGGGTTTAAATTTTCCAGCACTAAAACCCACCAAATCACTTTCACTAGACGCTCTGTCATCTCCCATCATCCTTTGTACCTCTATGGCTCCCCTATCCCTGAACGTGATACAGTCAAGTTTCTGGGCCTCCTCTTTGATCGTAGGTTATCCTGGAAACCTCACATCACCTCTCTGAAGGCAACTTGTCACAGCCGACTGAACCTTCTTAAAACCCTTGCTCATCTTTCGTGGGGCTGATCGTCGAACCCTCCTTCGCCTACATTCCACCTTATTTTAAACGAAACTTGATTATGGTGATCAGATCTATTCAGTGGCATCTCCTGCTACTCTCTTAGCCTTAACCCCATTCATCACCAAGGATTACGTTTTTGCCTTGGTGCTTCCCCTCTTCCCCTGTCGAGAGCCTCTACGCAAGAACGAACGTTCCATCCTTATCCGATCGCCGTGATGCCCATTGCCTGCGCTACTATGTACGCTCTCATGATCTCCGCAATCCTTCCATTTATAGAATGGCACTGATATTTGTAGACATTCTTTATTTGTTCGCTGCCCCTGTTTACTTCGTCCCCTTCTCTCTTTCGCCTTCATTCGCTCTTGTCTTCCCCTTCAACTACCACCTTTCTATGTACATGTAGCATTCACTTTTCCCTACTCCCCTGGGAAGTTCCAGCTGTTCGAGTCTGTTTCCCTTTTTCCCTCCCTTGCTCGAAAGCCAACTGTCTACGGTCGCTTCCGCCCCTTTTTCTTGACCACTTTCACTCTCATTCTCATGCCATTGCTGTGTACACAGATGGCTCTAAGTCTTCTGACGGCGTTAGGATTCCGCCCGGGAGTGTTTCCGGACAGCGTCGTACAAGGGCATTTACTATCTTCGGCTAGTAATTTTTACTGCTGAATTATATGCCATCCTTACAGCACTTATCCATATTGCATCTATGCCTGTGTCATCATTTGTGGTTGTCTCAGACTCCTTAGTGCTTTACAGGCTATACAAAAATTTGATACACCTCACCCCTTAGGGCCTCCGTATCCAACTTTGGCTACGCCGCATCTTTACCAAGCATAAAGATATTGTTTTTTTGGGTCCCTGGTCATGTTGACGTACAGGGCAATGAACAGGCAGCACTGCTGCGCGGTCGCAGTACATGACCTACCAGTTTCTTATAGAGGTATTCCATTTACGGGCTATTTTGCTGCAATAAACTTCCCACCTTCACACCCGTTGGCAACAACGTTGGTCTACTATGCTCGGCAACAAACTTCATCTATTAAACCGAGTATAGGTTACTGGCCGTCTTCTTATCACCAGTGTCGAGGTTGGGAGGACTACTCTCTCCCGTCTTCGCATTGGCCATACTCGTCTTACTCATGGATATCTCATGGAGGGGGCGTCTTGCTCCTCTCGTTTAGAGTTGCCAAGCTCCATTATCAGTTTAGCCCACATTCTGTTGGACTGCCCACTTTATCAACAGCACGCAGAATTACCTCTGTCGTCGTCTTCGCTCCCCTGCTCTCTCTTTACTTCCCTTCTCGCTGATGGACCCACCTTTCATCCGGACTCTCTCATTGACTTTTTGACAACGAAATGACTGACTTCACAAATTCTGATACCTTCAGCCCTTTCTACTTCAATCTCTTGCTACCTTCTACCCCCGTGTACTATCCCCTGCCCTGCTGTTTTCTGTAACCTGCTGATCATCCCCCCTCCCTTCTGCCATCCAATTCCCTTGCTTCCTTCCCTACCCTGCAGCGCTGTATAGCCCTTGTGGCTTAGCGCTTCTTTTTGATTATAATAATAATAATAATAATCTGGGAAATAAACAAGTGTTTGTGTTGTACACAGTGTTTATCCTAAACCTTATAGTATAAAATACAATACTAACAGCATAAAAAGTAAAGTAAAACATGAAATACCAAAATAAAACAATAAAATAGTCATTACAAAAATGTTATGTTGATATTCAGTAGTAAAGTTCGACTTACGTCCATTTCGACTTACGACTGGTTTCTCAGAACCGAACTCAGTTGTAAGTCGGATGATAGGTATATATGATAGTGTAAACTTTTCTGGCATTTATTTTTTTTTTTTTCAACAAGTTGGTCGTCTCCCACCGAGGCAGGGTGACCCAAAAAAGAAAGAAAATCCCCAAAAAGAAAATACTTTCATCATCATTCAACACTTTCACCACACTCACACATTATCACTGCTTTTGCAGAGGTGTTCAGGATACAACAGTTTAGAAGCATATACATATAAAGATACACAACATATCCCTCCAAACTGCCAATATCCCAAACCCCTCCTTTAAAGTGCAGGCATTGTACTTCCCATTTCCAGGACTCAAGTCCGACTATAAGAAAATAACCGGTTTCCCTGAATCCCTTCACTAAATATTACCCTGCTCACACTCCAACAGATCGTCAGGTCCCAAGTATCATTCGTCTCCATTCACTCCTATCTAACACGCTCATGCACGCTTGCTGGAAGTCCAAGCCCCTCGCCCGCAAAACCTCCTTTACCCCCTCTTTCCAACCCTTTCGAGGACGACCCCTACCCCTCTTTCCTTCCCCTATAGATTTATGTGCTTTCCATGTCATTCTACTTTGATCCATTCTCTCTAAATGACCAAACCACCTCAACAACCCCTCTTCTGCCCTCTGACTAATGCTTTTATTAACTCCACACCTTCTCCGAATTTTCTGCATAATATTTACACCACACATTGCCCTTAGACAGGACATCTCCACTGCCTCCAACCGTCTCCTCGCTGCTGCATTTACCACCCAAGCATTTATATGCATTTATAAATGGAAAAAAATGGAGTTCTGCTTTCCGGCTAAGTCTGCTTTCTGGCAGTAGCCTGGAACCTTACCTGCTGAATAAGTGAGGCCCTACTGTAGTATTAATCAATGTATGAACTTTGGGCATCTTGTTTTGAAGTTTTAAGATTTAGGTAATTGGGAGATTTTTTTGGTAAAGTTAAATATTGAGTAGTTTAGGGTGAGTAAGTGGTTTTTGAGAAGTCTTAAATTAATGTTCAGACCAGGTTACTTTAGTATTTACTGGTAATGAATTCCAAATTTTGGGGCCCTATAGAGATTTTACAGTGTGATATGGACTCAGGGTACATCAAAGAGAGATCTGTGTCTTGTGTTATGGTTGTGGATAATTGGCATTGCCAGACACTCCCCATTAGTCCATTAAATTTAGGTTTCACTATTTTATAAATAAGAGAAACTATAATTTTAACTACGAGGTTTGAGAAATACTAGCCCACTGTTAAAATTAATTTGTACCTCTGAAAGGAAAGCATCTTACCCTTAAAATTTTTGTATTTTGCATCATATATTGCATAGGAATTTGTGCAGTGTATATGTATTGAGGAAAAATATATAGTTATTGATTTTTTTTTTACATGTCTTATTATTTATTTTATTAATATGTAGAATAATAGTAGTAAGGAGCCATAAATGTACATGCTTATAGTTTTTAAATATTTCACAGCTACCAGAAGGATGGTCTTCATATTCTTTATTACCTCTTTAAAACTGCCAGTATCATTGATGCATAAGCCTCAAGATGCTCAAGCCCTTTTTGATTTTCCCAGGGCAGATGCCCCAGTCTTGGGCCACATGTGGGAATACATTATGGGCGAGGATTTCTTTGAATTTGGGTATGGATTTATCATGCTTGTGTGTGACTTTATCCTCTTTTTACCTGTAGTTTGACAAGTAACTGCCTGTCATTTAGAAGTGGTGTTTCTAATAGTTTTGTGTGAAATTTTTGCATTAATAACTTTTGAAAGTTTTTACTAAGATACACTGAGCTTTATATACGTACTTAAAACTTGCCCCTCCTCCCACAAAAAAAATCCAGATTTGTCTTAGAAAAGTAGACATGAACCCATTAGTAAGTACAGCAACTGCAAGAGGAAGCCACTGAAGATTTTTTTAACACCGGCCATCTCCCACCAAGGTAGGATTGACCAAACAAAGAAAACAGATTCACCATTTATTCAGTGGTAAGCACTGTACTCCCCACTTCCAGATTTTAAGTCCAGATGGTTGAAATAGGTGAGACTTGAGCCTTTTCGGAAATCTTGATTTTTGCGGAAAATTACCTTAATGAAAAAAAAATGGGCTTAAGGGTTTTTTCTGACCCTACAGCCTTTTCTAATAGTAGGGTATAACTAAAATCATACATTTTATGATAAAATTATCATATTTTGCACATGGCTTCTAATGTGTCCATTCCTTTGTTTAAAAATAAAAGTGCCATGCTAAGCTTTAGTACTATATCTACTACCACTTGTTTAAAGGTAGCTGAGACTCGTATCCTAGTTGTTCAATATTATTTATTTATTTATTGATTAATACACTGGCCGATTCCCACCAAGGCAGGGTGGCCCGAAAAAGAAAAACTTTCACCATCATTCACTCCATCACTGTCTTGCCAGAAGGGTGCTATACACTATGGTTTTTAAACTGAAACATTAACACCCCTCCTTCAGAGTGCAGGCACTGTACTTCCTATCTCCAGGACTCAAGTCCGGCCTGCCGGTTTCCCTGAATCCCTTCATAAATGTTACTTTGCTCACACTCCAACAGCATGTCAAGTATTAAAAACCATTTGTCTCCATTCAAACACGCTCACACATGCCTGCTGGAAGTCCAAGCCCCTCGCACACAAAACCTCCTTTACCCCCTCCCTCCAACCTTTCCTAGGCCGACCCCTACCCCGCCTTCCTTCCACTACAGAGTGATACACTCATGAAGTCATTCTGTTCAATATATTTTGTAATAATACAGTGGAACCTTGACTTGCCAGTTTAATCCACTCCAGGAGGTAGCTCGTAACTCAATTTACTCATATACCATATTAATTTTCCTCATTTAAATTAATTGAAAAGCCATTAATTCGTTCCTGCACTCTGAAGAGATGCGAAAAAAATACTTGAATATAACGCTAATATCAACTGTATGGCTTATTTATCTATCATAATTCATCTAATATGACATAATAAATAATATAATTAGTACAGAAACATGATACATACTCTAGAATGAATGAAATAGGCCATAATATAGTGACAGAGGCAGCGGCAAAAGCATCGCCATTTCTGTCCCAATTTGAATAGTATCTTCCCATGTTTTTACTGTATTGAAAACAGAGTATATTTGAGGCTAACTGCAGTAGATCACTAGGATCCATGGTTAGAAAAAAGAAATTTGGCCAAATGACTGTAAAAAAAAATGCAAACAAGCATGAGAGAACTGCCCCCAAAGGGATGTAAACGTGTTTACTGCTTACCAGCTGTGCCAACTAGCAGAAGCAATCTGAATTATTATTACATACGTATTATGCATTATTATTATTATTTATTATTATTATTATTATTATTAATTTAGGGAACTGAAGCTCTATCGTCATAATAATATTAGCAGTAGTATTGTATATTATTATTATTATTGTTGCTGTTATTAATTTAGGGAACTGAAGCTCTATCATTATGATGATAATACAGTAGACCGCCATTGAAGAATTGCTGCACAATTTTATGTAACACGTCGTATAATTAATTTAACATGGTTCAGTTTGTGGGAAGGTAAAAAAAAAATTCTTTTGCTCAAGCGGCCACGTTGTTGTGGAGCAGCTGGGGAGCCACTCCCGACACCACCCCCACCATCCAAGCATTCATAATTCATATATGTCCAGTCTTTCTCTGTTACAAGGCAGCTGTGTTTGTCAGTTGTGTTATGATATTTTAATTACTATATCTTGTATCTCCCAAGCAATCATGACACCCAGTAGCCATACCAGTGTTGCTGAAAGTGACACGAAGAAGTATAAGCACTTAAGCCTTAGAATTAACAAAGATATTAGACAAGAGATAACCTGTAGCCATAATTGAAGTGTTACTTTGTACACAGAAAGAGAGGTTAACGTGCGTTTGTGTGACTGACTTACTGAATGACTGACTGACTTACTGACTGACTTATTGAATGACTGACTGACTTACTGAGTGAACTGACTGACTTACTGAGTGACTTGGCTGATTTACTGAGTGACTTAACCGACTTACTGAGTGACTTGACTGACTGAATGAATGACTAGATTGACTGAATGAATGACTAGATTGACTTACTGAATGACTAGATTAATTAACTTACTGAATGACTTGATTAATTAACTTACTGAATGACTTGATTGACTTACTGAGTGACATGACCAACTTAACCCTTTGACTGTCGCAGCCGTATATATGTCTTACGAGGTACCGTGTTTGACGTATATATACATAAATTCTAGCGGCTTCAAATCAAGCAGGAGAAAGCTGGTAGGCCCACATGTGAGAGAATGGTCTGTGTGGTCAGTGTGCACCATATAAAAAAAATCCTGGAGGACGCAGTGCATAATGAGAAAAAAAAACTCCGACTGTTTTTTTTTTAATTAAAATGCCGACTTTGTGGTCTATTTTTGTATAGTATTTATGATTGTATTCTCGTTTTCTTGGTCTCATTTGATAGAATGGAAAATAAATTATAGAAATAGAGGTGATTTTGATTGATTTTACTATGAAAAGATCCTGGAAATGGAGCTCAAAGTAGAGGAAATGTTTGATTTTTGCCGATGTTCAAAAGTAAACAAATGATGTCATTGTCCAATAAATGTCCAACTAGCCATTCTAATATGCAGTCATGAATGGGTTGATGTTATTTATACAATTATTACAGTATTGCAGTAGTCTGCATAACAGTAAATCTTCTATTTTTTGTTTGAATAAAAATTCAAAATAGAAAGCAAGAGTAATATCACAAGGGCCTGGAGACATGACTGATGAACAAAGAAAATGTTATTTTAGAGCCAGGAATGTCTTTATTGATCATTCTGGTCCTTATTTTGAAATTGTCATATTTTTTAATTTTCGTGAAATTGGCCAAATTGCAAATTTCTGACCACGTTATTGGGTAGTTGAAATCGGTAAATGGGCAGTTTCTTGTACTCAATCGATAGAAAAAAATGGAGTTCTAAAGAAATAGCTATGAGTTTGGTTGACTGGAACAATGGAATTAGCCAAAAATAGGGCTCAAAGTGGGCGAAATCACCGATTTGTAAATATTGCCGAGGTCGCTAACTTCGCGAGAGCATAATCCGTCAATTTTCCATCAAATTTTGTTTTTTGGTGTCATTACAATCGGGAAAAGATTATCATTTCATAATAAAAAATAATTATTTTTTTTATAATTTTGCAACACCAGGAGACACCTCAGGATTGGGGGTTGCAACAGTCAAGGGGTTAATGAGTGACTCGACTGACGGAATGACTTGACTGACTTACTGAATGATTTGACTGACTTACTGAGTGACCCGACTGTAATATTATATATTATTATTATTGCTGAGAAGAAAGAATGATTTCCGTGGAATTAAAGCACGAAATCATAGATAAACGAGCGAGGTGTCCAGATTTTGGGTTGAGGGGGAAGAGGGAGGGGGGAGCTGGCTCGTAACTCAAATCTTGGCTTGTAACTCGGAGCAAAAAATCGACCCAGGGACAGCTCGTATCTCAAAAAACTCGTAAGTTGGGACACTCGTAAGTCAAGGTTCCACTGTACTTGTAAAATAACTGTACGATAGTAACCCCCCCCCCCCATAACTGGGGGATACATTCCAAGATCTACCATGGATCCCTGAAACCGTGGATAGTAGTGAACCCTATATAGTATAAGTTTTTTCATTTAAATACATACCCATGATAGTTTAATTGATAAGTTACACACAATAAGCAGAGAATTAGCACATTTTTGCTAATGGGAAGCACTTTACAGCTTCTCCTAGACTTTGAAGATCTGTAACCATCACTATTTTTGTGCTTTGGTACCATTACTGTATTAAGCAAAAATAAGGGTTATTTTTGGGCCACGGTAAACCATGGATAACTGAAACCGTGGAAACCGAATCTGCAAATACAGGGGTTCTACTGTACAGTGCTAGTCACGGCATTATGCCACCCCTCCCCCAAACACATACCAAAACACAAACACATACCATGGAAGATTATAATATACAGTGGTATCTCGAGTTTCGTACTTAATCCGTTCTTCCAGGAGCTAGTACTAAAGTCGAAACATACTAAAGTCGAAGCAGTATTTTCCATAAGAAATAATGTAAATCCAATTAATCCGTTCCTGCTGTCATGAGGCATGACAAAATAGTACTTCAATATAACATTATTGTCAGCTCTACAGGTTATTTATCTATCACAATTCATCTAATATGACATAATAAACAATATAAATAACGTAGAAACCTGATATGCACTCTAGAATGAATAAAATATGTACGTATGTCAGTACATATGTGGTGGCGGGGAGGACAGCGCTCGCAGGTATTCTTGCTCTAGCTATGAAAATGTCTTCCCATTCTTTCCTCCTTCAGATGTGTTAGTATAAGAGAAAATGGAGTTTGTGAGGCAAACTGCATTAGATCATAAGAAAACCATAATGTACAAATGAACTGGTGTACGTACACCATTTACATACCTTGCAGAAGATAGGCAGAGCGGCTTATGCAGTCAGGAGTTTATTTCATTTCATCCTTTTTCTATCGCTTAATCACTTCATTGCTACACTCTTAATGCTACACTTTGTCACTGAACTTAACTGCTTTAAA